GAAGTCAGGTTGCGTTTTTGAGAACATTTATTGCCCTGTGTTTGGGAAGGAGTCTTATTCCTCAGGTAAAAGTTGGAGATGTGGTCACAAATATACAATAAAAACCATTTGGCAAGTTTTGTGCAATGCGTCTATTCAGAGTAACATACCATGGCGGGTGTGGCGCCAGGCAGGGTAAGCTTACTCTTCCGGACACCTGTTACCGCTGTTTGTCGTGTATTTTGTACACGGTGAACAGTCCATATGTTGATTACACTATTTTGCCTTATTACACCATTTTGCCTATACCGTTTTTTTTTAGGACTTCGAATTTTGTCTTACGGTTTGGATTGTTCGTACTTGGTTTTATTTTATTTATACCAATCTGACGTTTTTTTTTTGCTGCTTAAAATATTATACTTAAAAGGGAAGTTGGTCTATCTACTCGTTTGGAGAGTATACATTGGCGTGCACGTAAAAGATCCTTTGGAATTCGATATAATAGTAGTCCGTTGCCCGAATAAGCACACTATGGCGTATGCCCGTTTTCATTAGCCCAGTATAGGACCAGAACAATAGGACATTAAACTCCATTTCATTTCGTATCCAAGGTTTTGTTCCAAAGTTTTTGGGTATAAATAATTTGTTTGTCTATTTTGTCAAAAGTATTCGGTTTTTTTTCGTTTTCTGATTAAGTCTATGTAATCATTTCTAATTTATGCCAATCGGAGTCTAAATTCTTATTCACTGCTTTTTTGCATAATCTCGTTTTTATACGCCCTTGGGCGTATCACACATTTTTATGTGGACGTATATTGTCGTCGCCCCTTTCCGGCCGTCCGTCCGTCCACAATTGTTTGTGAACACTCTACAGGTCACAATTTTTATCCGATTTCAATGAAACTTGATTTGAAATATAGGTTTGTAACCCTAAGATCTCGGTTCCTTTCAATATTGGCATGTATCGGACTGTAACTTCATTCATGGATTATGGCCCTTGATTTACGAAAAATCACGTTTTTAGCTTGTGAACACTGTAGAGGTCACATGTTTTATCCAAATTTGGTTTAAACTTGAAATGTATGTTTATAACCTACAGATCTCGGTTCTTTTCGATATTCGCGCATATTGGACCATAACTTCCTGAATTATGGCCCCTGACTGTACGAAAAATCGCGTTTTTAGCTTGTGGACCCCATAGAGGTCACAATTTTTATGCGATTTAAAAAACTGTTACAATATATTACCGTTACACCCTAAGGATGGTTGAGTTCGAATTTCGTAAAAAATCGGACTGAAACTGACGGACAAAATGGCCGCCCCTCGTTCGCAAATAGTGTCACAATATTGTGTATAAGGGTTGTGGATCCTCTGGAGGTCACAATTTAAAAAAAAAACGTGTGAATATATCACCTTTACACACTAAGATCTTGGTTCCTTAACTTAACTTCCTGGATTATGGCCCCTGATTGTTCAAAAAATCGCATTTTTTCCGATTTTAAAAACAGTTTAAATTTATCACTATTCCACCATAATGAAGGTTGAATTCGTATTTCGGGAAAATCGAACTAAAACTGCCCGACAAAATGGTCGCTCTTTGTCCGCAAATTGTGTAGAAGTATGTTATACGATGGTTGTGGACCCTCTAAAGGTCACAATTTTTATCCAATTTTGATGAAACTTAAAACAAATCTTTATATCCCGAAGATCTCTGTCCCTTTTAATATTTGCACATTTCAGGCAATAACTTTCTGCATTATTGCCCCTGATTGTACAAAAAATCACGTTTCTTTTTAGCTTGTTCTCTATCCATCTCTTGCAAAATGTGGGCGTATCCTGCCTGGCAGCCGCTGGTCTTCTTTTCAATGGGTCTTATTCCATTCATCCAGGGTTTATCATGTTGCCTATTGGCACTGTTTTGCTAGGTATATTTGTTTTTGCTATATTGATCCATGATCAACGAGTTTGTAAATTGGACATATTCAATAGGTATTTCTGTTGTGGTGGTAATCCACTCAAGATAGTGTAAAAAGTAAATTAAGCTTCAAGTAAAAAAATAAATAAACCTAATAGCGCATGTACTGTACTAATCTGCACTTTCATTTTTTGATTTGGCTGTAACTTCCGAAACATGCGACTCGGAGTATTGCTGGCCGAATCATATTGTTAATTATTAAACAATAATTAAAATAAAGTTGAATATAAATGGGTGAGTATTAAATGCATGGATGAAATGGAGTTTTATAGCACATCAGCTCCAATCGGGCTATATTGCGCCAAACATATAGTGAGAGGTTTGAGTATTGGGTCGAAGTTCTTGACAATATGGTTAATTTCAGAGGTACAACTGTACGCAACACAGGGTTTATCTTTCTAGAACTGATAAGATTATTAATCACATTTAGGTCAACATAAAATATAGAACAACCCGAAGACAGTGCCAGTGTACGAATTTAGTTTCCCTTGCAGAAAATAAAACGAAATGGGGATTATAATGTTCTACTTTTCTGCTCCGACTCGGCTAATGAAGGCGAACTTACGCCATGCAGTCTGCTATGGGGAAATTTTGCCTAGTCAGCGGCGGTATGGCCTACTTTTGTTTCGAATTCAAACTGTCAAGAGTACTTTTACGTGCCCGCCAATGTGTACGCGGGACCTCGGTGTTTCGTGCCATCCGAACGAATATGTGTTTTCCCTTGTCAGGCCTAACCCACTGACGGAAAATCCCGATGAACTATCTCGACCAACAACGGGATCGAACACAGGAGTGGGCCAATATCTTACGCATCGCGGCTTCCATTTCCCTTACACAAAAACTACTCATGGTTACATTAAAATATAAACATGGCACCTCGTTATCCATCTAAAAAAATGAAAGGTGATTATTCGGGGTGTTCCCACATAGCCGGCAGGCTTTGATGTCAAATTTTGCCGCTAATCCAGAGTTAATCCTAGAACAATGGTGTTATAAACTATAGTCCATATCTTTTTTAAGACTAAAACTGCATTGATTTTAACAAATTTAACTTTTATTAAATAACATTAAATAGCTTACACATATAAAAATATATTGATTTTAACAAATTTAACATTTATTAAATAACATAATTTACACATATAAAAATGCATTACAATTTACACATTTAACTTTTATTAAATAGCATTATATAATTTATAAATAAATGCCTTACAACATAACAATCATTTTACAGCCCCACTAAATAGGAAATATTTGTTCCATACCGATTTACACTTAAAGAGCCATTTAATAACTGTGTTTTCAAATGTTCAATTCTTGTATCAAGTTGTCGATATTTCTTAACTCGAGGCCTTTTGGTACCACCAAATAATATCTGTGAAATGGTGATTTCGACATAGGATTGTTCTTGTTTTATTAAGTTAATGAACTTGTAAATATTAGGATGGCATGCTGTCATTTTATTCAACTTAGAATGCCAAAAGTTCAAAATGTCATTAATTAGTTGGTTAATAAATTTTATTAAGAGCTCATTAACGCTGAACACTAGTGAACAGTTCTTGAGTGACTACTTTTAAACAGACTATAGTTTTAAGATCAATCAAAGGATTAACAGTCTGCCGGCTAAGTGGGAACACACCTATTATTCTTATTCAACTCTGATGTGTTAACGGTTAGTTATGGTTCAGCGAGTAAGGGGCGGACTTACTAACCTTGACATACGGATTTTCCAGCGTGGTTTCTCCTTATTGTCGGTGGTGCAGAAAGGAGTTGCTGGCAAGGAACAGTGTCCAGTGGTTCCGATGTGACGGAACATACCAGAGTAACCAGTGGATAATCGCTATACTGTTCGCAACCCTGTTGATATCATTTAATTCTTTATTTCATGACAACTTCCCACCTAAGCATATTTCTTTTCGTTTAATGTTTCGTTTTTTTGGGTAACCCCAGTAGGTGTGGGTCTATAGACTGGTCGTAAACCTACGGCATCATTAATATTGGTGTTCACTTCACACCTATCTCAGAAAACATAGTAGTCGCAACCCTACTGATATCCGTAGTAGTGCGTGTTCACTTCCTACCTACCCATATTCCTTTTTGTTTGGCTTTTTTGTGGGTTGGGTAACCCATTGGATGGTGGCTATAGACTGATTGTAACCCTACGGATATCATTAATTCAACCATTGTGTCGCATCGGCTGTGGTAGGGGGCAGCAAAGACAGATTTTACCGTCCAGTACGATAGTGGTGTAATTTGAATATAAACTGTCAGATTTCAAATTTTGTTGCATATTTGCAAGGCCATATTCAGTGTTCACAAATTTGTTTACTACACATTTTTGATTTGGTTTTTTTTTTGGTTTTTTTTTTAGATTATCTTGGTCACAAATGTCAAAATTGTAAAAATTGTATAACGTTTTACATAGTTAGTTAGGTGTCTTGAATTTTACAAAAACAATTTGTATGCCTAATTAGTATCCAAATAACAAAAAACCTTTTCTGTCGGCACCGGAAGTGAGGTAATTTCGACAAACTTCACATTTTGTAAATAACGAATCATGAATTACATTTTCTTTATTTACAAAAAACATTTTCTGTTGGCACCGAAAGTGGGGTAATTTCGACAAACTTCACCTTTTTGTAAATAAAAAATTTTGAAATCCATTTTCTTTTATTTTCCGGTTTTTTACTCCACTTTATAAGTATATTTTTTATTGGACTAATCTTCCTTCCATACCCAAATTTCCGCAATAGCTTTTAATATCGCAGACAATTTGCACACCGTCGTGCTGTCTCTATTTGGTTATTTGGCTTAAATGAAACCATTTTTTATCAGTCACCATATGTTCTACTTTAGTTCTAGTCGAAGTTTGTCGCACTGGTCTGAAAATTTTTCAGGTTCTTGTAAACCCAACAAATGTCGTTTAAAGGATGGTTAAATAGGTTCAGGCCAGTGATCATGCTAGATAATCTATGTAGAGATTTCAGCCATCTGAATTTGTTTTAAATGCGATAATAGATAAGAAAAGTAATAAAATAAGCTAGATAAACTAAAGGTCATAGTGTATGTTCAGACTCAACAACAGCAATATGAAGGTTTTTCTTGTTTTAACTGTACTTTTTGGTAAGTATAGGAACAAAATGACTCAACAACAGCAATATGATGTTTTTTTCTTATTTTAACTGTACTTTTTGGAAAGTATAGGAACAAAATGTCTCAACAACATCAATATGAAGGTTTTTCTTGTTTTAACTGTACTTTTTGGTAAGTGTAGGAACAAAATGACTCAACAGCAGCAATATGAAGGTTTTTATTGTTTTTTAACTGTACTTTTGGGTAAGTATAGGATTTTATTGTTTTTTAACTGTACTTTTTGGTAAGTATAGGAACAAAATGACTCAGCAGCAGCAATATTAAGTTTTTTCATGTTTTAACTGTACGTTTTGGTAAGTATAGGAACAAAATGACTCAACAACAGCAATATGAAGGTTTTTATTGTTTTTTAACTGTATTTTTTGGTAAGTATAGGAACAAAATGACTCAACAACAGCAATATGATGTTTTTTTCTTATTTTAACTGTACTTTTTGGAAAGTATAGGAACAAAATGTCTCAACAACATCAATATGAAGGTTTTTCTTGTTTTAACTGTACTTTTTGGTAAGTATAGGAACAGAATGACTCAACAGCAGCAATATGAAGGTTTTTATTGTTTTTTAACTGTACTTTTGGGTAAGTATAGGATTTTATTGTTTTTTAACTGTACTTTTTGGTAAGTATAGGAACAAAATGACTCAGCAGCAGCAATATTAAGTTTTTTCATGTTTTAACTGTACGTTTTGGTAAGTATAGGAACAAAATGACTCAACAACAGCAATATGAAGGTTTTTATTGTTTTTTAACTGTATTTTTTGGTAAGTATAGGAACAAAATGGCTCAACAGCTGCAATATGATGGTTTTTATTGTTTTGACTGTACTTTTTTATTACAATTGGAACAAAATGACTCCAGTCTATTAAGTTTTTTTAGCCAACGTAGTCTAAGAGGCATTCTACAAGAGTTAAACTTGTTTATTTCCCAGTGTGTTTATGGTTTTTATTCACATGACAAAGTTCATAATAGGAGAGAGAGAAATAGGGTTTAACGTCCACTCGACAACCCACAATCACCTCTCTTTCATCTGATGACTGAGATAATGAGTGGATTAGACAATGTCCACTATGGCCGGAGACAGCTGATGACAGGTCTGGCCATTTGGTTGAAAGATTCAATATATTAATTTTTCATGTATAGCAATAACGACCAGATTCTCCTCCCAGTCTTGACATTATAAATTATTTACAATATGGTGTTATCATGTGACACTGATAGGCGATGATGATGAGTCATGACGATGATTAATCTATTTCAGCCCTGGCAGCATGTGAGACATGTGACGATGATGCAGATGACTGTGATTTATTCCAATGTGTTAACGGTACGAGTAAAAGATGTATAAATAACATATGTACATGTGTTTCAAGGTGTGATAACGATCAAGGTAGGAGCTTTTGACGGGTTTTCCCTTTGATGCCATTTTCGGTCTTGCGCAGTGTCTGGCCTTTTAGCGCACAGAAATTTGATTTTATGTTTTTGAGTGAAAATACACTCATACCAATAACTTGTATCGCTTTAAATTGAACTATACTATTTATTTACAATTACGCATGTGTTTAACGAGAGAATACTCTTCGAAACATGGCCATTGTTCTTACTTCCACTCCGTCTTCATTATCCCAGTCGGAGCAGAACAGTAGGACATTAAACTCCATTTCAATTCTTACTTCCATATATAGTTTTGATATTTAACTGGCCATTTTTACAGTCTTCAAAAACCGGTGATAGGATATAAGGATTTTAATCATGTAACGTTGAGGGAAATTTTTTTTTTAAAAGTTACTCATGTCAAATTGGCTATTTCAGAGAAATACCTCTATTTAAAATGTTATATTTTATATCTCTACAAGATTGTATTCTATGTGTTGATGGGACACCAAAATTATAATATTAGTGATTTGGAGAAAAAAAAATAAAGGTTAAAAATACCGATTCTTTATAAAAGACTTCACTTTCGGTAACAATGCAGTTTTTCAATGGTTGAGATATCCAAAATTTCCGATAGCCTTTAACCTTAATAATAATAATAACGACTAAATTCATAACAATCAATCGTACGTGCCCTAGAAAACGTATATACTTATACATTATTTAGTCATTTATTATTTACAGTATCCAAATGTATGAATGAATGAATGGTAGACAAAGAAAAATAAATTCAAACTAAGGGATAAATAAATACGTCATACTTTATAAAACTGCTTTATATCAAAATCGATATGAATAATATAAAAAGAAAAATGAACAAAAGGCCTATACATATTTATAACTTCAGGCTTGCCATATTAATATTTAAGGTTTAATTAAAAATATGAATATTCACAAACCTGAAATTGTAAATATTATGTACGTAGCGGTTATGTTCATTTTATTTTTATATTATTTCTAACAATCTTTTCATAAATAATAATAAAAAATAATAATACCAAAACAGAGTTTCCATAATATATCCCGGTTGGAGCTACCGTGCTATTTGTCACCCTTTATGTGCTGCGTTAATCAAAACGGGAATTCCCTATTTTAAGGTGCGGTGGTTTTTCCCATGTGTAAATGTCAGGTCACATGTTCACTTTATTGTTAATACCTGTTATTTATCAGTTGTTTATCTTTCCGAGAACTATATCGTCAATATTTTTCCGTGAATATATTGGGGTTTTTTTTTTTTTGTGGGGGGGGGGGGGGTTGTATTTATACTCGGACGTCTTGTAGGTGCGAATAACCCAGAAAGTTGGAGTTATTTCCCATAGTCCGGTCTTATTTATAGAGTTAGCAGTTTGTAAAGTGGCGTGCTGAGGTTCAGTGATGTGATGCCCTGGTGGGTTCAACTCCTTGAAATGAAATGAAATGAAATGGGGTTTAACGTCCTACTGTTCTGCTCCTAAACTGGGCTAATGAAAACGGGCATACGCCATACAGTGTGCTATGGGGAAATTTTGCCCGGGCAGCAGCACTATCGCCTACTCTTATATCGAATTCCAACTGCCAAGGGATCTTTTACGTGCATTCCAATGTATATACGGGACCTCGGTTTTTCGTCTCATCCGAAGGACTAGACAGCTGTCCTTGTCAGGCCCTCCGTCCTGCATCACTGATAAGGGGGAACCACGCCGGGAAATCTGGATGAACTTTCTCGGCCAATGCAGGGATCGAACACCCGACCTCTAGGCTAGCGAGCCAGCGTCTTACTTCCAACTCCTTGATAGTATGCCCCCAAGACTCAAATATAGTATTGAGAAATGTGAGAAAGAGAGAGATTTTAAATATGAAATATACTACTCATTATAAATGTAAATCATGCAGCCACACTAATTAAGTCACCATCTGCACGTCATTGTGCGTGGATATTAAGTAATCGAAATCTATTTGTAACAATAAATTTGAGTTTTTATAATGTCTAATATATATGTCAAATGAAAAATTGTGAGAAATAACAAAGTTGACAAAACGAAATTTGTTTTAAAAAAAATATATAAATATATATTATTAAAGCAATATTATTTTATTTTTATTTTTTTTTCAGAAAAGTGTGAGTCGGCGTCTCATTGTCAACACGATGCCGACAAACATGGGTGTCAGTGTAGCAGTAGTTACCACTGTATTGACAGATATTGTCATTGTGGATTCCCAGCTATGTCCACTCAAGCGCCTATTGGTTAAACTCACATACTGTAATAAACTTCATTTTAGAACAATTAATTTATACATGTGTTTAGTGGGTCGGTTAGGGAAGGGAAGAGAAGAGAGAGGAAGGGGGGGGGGCAAAAGGTTTAACGCGTGCGCCTTAGAGTTCTGACATTAGATCTATGGTTTCGATTCCCCGCTTGTATGATGATGACCTGTCCAATCTTGTAGGTTTTCTCCGGGTTATATGGTTTCTTCCCACTACTTAAGACCCTATGCGTAACCGAATTATTGAAATAAATTTCAACCACATGTTAATCTCCAATGACATAGTTTGTATCGAGTGGACGTAAGACCCCATTTCTCTCTCTCTTTCTCTAAATATATTTCTTATTCTGATTCATAAGAGATTGGTCACTAAATTTCCCCATTATATATCTTCTATAATGACATGATGTCATAATACCACAATTATAATATGCCGGGTATGTATGTGAAAGAGGTGTGTATTATTAGAATTCCCAATCCAAACGAATAGTACAAACGTTGACACATGCTGTTACAGTACTTCCTCACATAAGCATCTAAAATTGTAAATATTTAAACAGGCATTATGCAAGAGTTAAATCTGAAGATAGGCATACGCTATGCAGAGTGCTATGACGGAAATTTTTTGTGGACAGCGACAGGACGGAGGGTCTGACAAAGGTATAACGCGTAGTCGGTCGGGTGGGACGAAAAATCAAGTCCCATGTACATATTGGCGTGCACGTAAAATACACCCTGACAGTTGGAATTCAATATAAGAGTAGGCCATATAGTGTCACTATCCGGGCAAAGTTTCCCTCATAGTACACTGTATAGCGTATGCCCGTCTTCATTAGCCCAGTTGGAGCAGAATAGTAGAACGTTAAACCCCATTTCATTTTATTTAATTTTCCTATTTTTCTGCACCAATCGGACTGTTGAAGATAGGCATATGGACAATGGCATTTCTTCATCGAATTCCAAATGTGAAGGGTTCTTTTATGGGCACGCCAAATTGTACACAGGGGCTTGTGTTTTTGCCGATACCACGCTACAAAATCCCGTGGAACTTTCTAGACCAACGCTAGGATCAGTGTACATAGTCATACTGTATATTGAGAGGAAGTTGGACGGCAACACGACAATATACGACATTTTTAATGTCGTGGTGTCGGGTGAAAATGTCTCCTCACGGGGCTAATAACATGGTCATCAGTTACATGGCTGGAACTTAACAGAAACAAAGATCTATACTTCGAAAATATAATTTTCAAAAATCTAATTAAATATCTGCCTGACCACACCCTAAAAATGGGGCTAATAATACGGTCATCAGTTACATGGCTGGAACTTAACATAAATATGGATCAGTGCATGGACAAAGCAATTTTCAAAAATCTAACCATAAATGTTGGTTCTTTCCTCAAGTCAGGGTAACCTTTTTTAACTTAGTCCCACTCCATCCCCTGTATATATAAAGCTTAAATAAAGTAATATCAATAATACCTTTTTTGAACCGCAGCAGGATTCAAAATGCTAACATAAAGTACAGCAAATGTTTGTTAGCTGTGTGAAATCCTCAAATGAGAAATGGGGTTGTAAAAAGGGTAAGCAAACCATGCCACTGCACTTATTAGCCCAGTTCGGAGCAAAACAGTAGGACGTTAAACCCATTTCATTTCATTTCATATTTGAGAAATGTGTGTGGGTACGTGTGTGTGTGTGTGGGGGGGGGGGGGTGTTGGATGCAATAAGCACAATATCATATGTTTTTATTCCATGGCCAAAGTTTATGGGTAACTAATGCATTGTAACCTAAGCTTGGCCAAACGAGGCAAAACAAATGGTTTGACAGTAAATGTATTTGGAGACAGTTCTCAGTAGCATCTGAAATGGGAATGTATTTATACTCGGACGTCTTGTAGGTGCGAATAACCCAGAAAGTTGGAGTTATTTCCCATAGTCCGGTCTTATTTATAGAGTTAGCAGTTTGTAAAGTGGCGTGCTGAGGTTCAGTGATGTGATGCCCTGGTGGGTTCAACTCCTTGAAATGAAATGAAATGAAATGGGGTTTAACGTCCTACTGTTCTGCTCCTAAACTGGGCTAATGAAAACGGGCATACGCCATACAGTGTGCTATGGGGGAAATTTTTCCCGGGCAGCAGCACTATCGCCTACTCTTATATCGAATTCCAACTGCCAAGGGATCTTTTACGTGCATTCCAATGTATACACGGGACCTCGGTTTTTCGTCTCATCCGAAGGACTAAACAGCTGTCCTTGTCAGGCCCTCCCTCCTGCATCACTGATAAGGGGGAACCACGCCGGGAAATCTGGATGAACTTTCTCGGCCAATGCAGGGATCGAACACCCGACCTCTAGGCTAGCGAGCCAGCGTCTTACTTCCAACTCCTTGATAGTATGCCCCCAAGACTCAAATATAGTATTGAGAAATGTGAGAAAGAGAGAGATTTTAAATATGAAATAAACTATACATTATAAATGTAAATCATGCAGCCACACTAATTAAGTCACCATCTGCACGTCATTGTGCGTGGATATTAAGTAATCGAAATCTATTTGTAACAATAAATTTGAGTTTTTATAATGTCTAATATATATGTCAAATGAAAAATTGTGAGAAATAACAAAGTTGACAAAACGAAATTTGTTTTAAAAAAAATATATAAATATATATTATTAAAGCAATATTATTTTATTTTTATTTTTTTTTCAGAAAAGTGTGAGTCGGCGTCTCATTGTCAACACGATGCCGACAAACATGGATGTCAGTGTAGCAGTAGTTACCACTGTATTGACAGATATTGTCATTGTGGATTCCCAGCTATGTCCACTCAAGCGCCTATTGGTTAAACTCACATACTGTAATAAACTTCATTTTAGAACAATTAATTTATACATGTGTTTAGTGGGTCGGTTAGGGAAGGGAAGAGAAGAGAGAGGAAGGGGGGGGGGGGGCAAAAGGTTTAACGCGTGCGCCTTAGAGTTCTGACATTAGATCTATGGTTTCGATTCCCCGCTTGTATGATGATGACCTGTCCAATCTTGCAGGTTTTCTCCGGGTTATATGGTTTCTTCCCACTACTTAAGACCCTATGCGTAGCCGAATTATTGAAATAAATTTCAACCACATGTTAATCTCCAATGACATAGTTTGTATCGAGTGGACGTAAGACCCCATTTCTCTCTCTCTTTCTCTAAATATATTTCTTATTTTGATTCATAAGAAATTGGTCACTAAATTTCCCCATTAATACTATTCAAAAAAAGTAGGGGATATTTGATTTTTAAGTGTAATTAAAGTCACCTAATGAAACTGACGAAGAAACAAATGACAAAATGAAATGAAGTTCACATTCATCGATTTATTCCAAATGATCGTTAGACTAAGTAAGGCACAGACTGACCATTATAAGGGTAAAATGATACCCGGGGTCAAACAGCAAAGTTACCACAGCATCACAACCAAGTCAGTAACGGGTAAATCCTCCTCTGTTTGCCAAACAAGCATTGATCCGACGTGGCATACTCCTAATGAGACGTCTAAGGTCATTTTGGTCCAGATTGTCCCATTCCTGTTGCAACGCAGCAGCAAGTTCTTGGACATTGGCAGGACGTTGTTGACGTTGACGTAACCTCTGTCCAAGCATGTCCCAGACATGCTCGATGGGGGAGAGGTCGGGACTCAGTGCTGGCCAATGTAATGTGGTGATGTTCTGTTGTTGGAGGTAACCTGTAACGATCCTGGCCCTGTGACATCTTGCGTTGTCATCCTGGAAGATGAAACGGCGGCCATGACGTCGTGCGAACGGCACAACATGGACTGCCAAGATGTTGTCCCGGTAGTACTGGCCTGTAACACGCCCTGCAACAATATGTAAAGCCGTTCTTCCAGCAACAGTGATGCCTCCCCACACCATAACAGAACCACTCCCAAATCGATCATGTCTGATGACGTTAACGTCTTGGAAGCGCTCGTTTCGACGACGCCACACCCTCCTACGTCTGTCCAAAAAATCAACAGTGAACCTTGACTCATCTGAAAACATCACATTGCTCCAGCGTCGATTATCCCAGTGTTGACGATCCCTACACCAACGACGTCTTGCCTGAATGTGATGATCTCTCAAATTGCATATTTTAGTATTATGCCCCCAAAATCAAATATCCCCTACTTTTGAATAGTATATATAGATATAATAATAGAGAAGATAGATTTAGAGAGATGGGTTTTACATAGGTTAATAAACAAACCGTAATAATAACAGTAATAACGACTAAATTTATAACACTCAATCCTACCACCTAAAGTGTTTAGAAATATGTCATAGAAAATGTACATATTACATTATAGTTTATTTATTCACCGTTTCTGAATGAAGTATGAATGAATGAATAGACATACCTTATATCGAAACTGGGTCACGATGTGTTTGACGCAATATAGCCCGGATGTAGGTGTCGCGCTATTAAACGCCTTTCATTCATTCATATAAACGGGAATCTCCAATTTTAAGCTGTGATTGTAATAACGACTAAATTTATAACACTCAATCCTACCACCTAAAGTGTTTAGAAATATGTCATAGAAAATGTACATATTACATTATAGTTTATTTATTCACCGTTTCTGAATGAAGTATGAATGAATGAATAGACATACCTTATATCGAAACTGGGTCACGATGTGTTTGACGCAATATAGCCCGGATGTAGGTGTCGCGCTATTAAACGCCTTTCATTCATTCATATAAACGGGAATCTCCAATTTTAAGCTGTGATTGTTTCCCGTTAAAGCTAAATGAAGGCCATCTCAATTTTTCGTCATAGGTCACGAGATGTAAACAACGTTAGCGCTAATCCCAACCCCAACCCTGGACCTAGTCCCAATGCTTACCCTAACTCTAACCCATAATCTCGCCCTAACCTTATTTTACATCTCAACGACCTTGATAAAAATTGAGCTGACCTTAACAAATAGATTTAGCCGTGGGTTTTCCATTGACATGAACAGGACGCGTGT